TGGCAGATCTATGGTCTGACTTGGCCCCACAAGGGTCTCATGTTGAAGGAGGAAAATGATTTTTACAGAGGCTTACGTGTAGTTGGTTCAGCAGAAAGCATTTTATGGTAAAAAGCCTTGGGCCAAGCACCCCACTACATCACTGGCAGCCCCTAGTGGTTGGTACAGAGGCAGAAACAACAATTGGGTAGAACTCTATGACCCTAATATCTGGCTTATAGTTTGGATCTTAAATGTTCTCTAAAGACCATGAGTTAAGTCCTGATCACCAGTCTACGGTACCATCAGGATGTGCCTGATTGAGGGAGGGGGCTAATGGGAAGAAATTAGGCCACTGGGGGCACACCCAGGAAAAGGACATTGGGATTTTGCCATGGCTTAAACATGAAATGTCTCCCACAGCCTACATGTTTGAACATTTTGACTCAGGAAGGTTATGAACCTTTAGGAGATGGGACCTTTCAGGAGAATGTACATTACTAGGGACAGGCTTTGGGGTTTTATAGCCTGGTTCAACTTTCTATTCTCTCTCTGCCTTTGGATTTTTGGTCCAATGTTACAGGCTGGCTTCATGCTTCTGCTACCATACTTTTCCCAGGAGGACTGTGTCCCTGCTAGACTGTAGGGCAAAGTAAACCCCTCTAAATTGCTTTTGTTGGGGTATTCCATCAAAGCAAAGCAAACTAAGACTTCCCCTACTCCTTCCTGCTCTCTCTTTGCTTCCTTGCCACCACTGGATGAGAAGGTTTGCTCTACCATGCTCTCCGCATGATGTGCTGTCTCACTAGAGACTCCAAAGCAATAGTACCAAAAAGGAGCCTTTCCCCATTTTAAGTTGGTTTTCTCAAGTTTTTTGTCACAGAAATGGAAAGATAACTAATTCACTTGTCTATTATTCCAGGGCTAGGGGAGAAAATCTCTAATGTCTACCAAACTAGAATATCTTTGCTACTCCACCCAGTAGTCTCCAGCTTAGAATGTGACTGCTGTAGGGGGAGGGTAAGGAAGAGCAGGGAGGAGGACCCAAGACAGGAGAGCTGCAAGCTTTCCAGGAAGCAGAGTCAGCTATCTCAGGAATCAAGAGAGACTGATAGGCTGGCCTCTCAGCAACCATGACAGAACCAGCTATAATCCTCTCTCCAAATGACATGCCACGTTCACCCTAGTCCTAGAGTGTGAGGGGGCATGGACTTAAGAAAGAAACAAGCAGCTTCCTTGAGGCATAATTGATTTCTGATACAATCTATATCTCATAATAAACACTTTGGTAGATTTTGTAGACCTACAAGTTGTAAGTCATCAGTATAATACATTTTTAGGACATTGCAATCACAGCCCTATTCTAGACTTAGCCCATAGCACATTAATCACATCCGCAATTAATCCCCATGCACAACCTCAGTTATAAGCAAACTTTGCTCTATTTTCTGTCTCCATAAATCTCCCTTTTCCAGGCATTTCATTAAAATAGCACACAGTTGTAAATTTCGCACCTGGTTTCTTTCACTTTGTGGAATGGCCTATTTCTACAGTCTGTTTCTTTGCCAAGTAGAACTTTATTGGATGTATCTCCTGCATTTTGTTTACTCTCTTGCCAGCTGATGAACATATTTGGATTGTCTCCAGTTTCTGGTTACTATGAATAGAGCAGTTGTGAACAATTCCATACAGGTCATTGTGTTGGCATATGCTCTCATTCTACAGATTGCTACACATATGATTTGTGGGTCATATTATTAAGAGTCACACCTTAAGAAACTACCAAACTATATTTCCCATTGGCGACTCCATTTAGGAGTGTACAATGATCCAGTTTTTCCATATGCATGCCAAAACTTGGCATCATTAGTCTCTGGGATTGAAGGTATTATGGTTGGGGTGTGCTGGAATCACATTATTATTTAATTTGCATTTCCCTAATTAATGACTAAAGATATTGGGCATCTTTCCACATATTTATGAGCCATGGGTACATCTTCTTCAGGGAAATACCTGTTCAAATCACTCTTGCCTATCTTAATTGTGCTATTTGTCATCTTATTATCCAGTTGGAAGAACGCTGTATCTGGAAACACATTACTCATCACTTACCTGATTTGCAGACATTGTCTATTTGGTGGCTTGTCTTTTCATTTTTGTAATTGTGTCTTTGGGACTAAATTTTTATCAGTCTCTCATTTATGAATCTCGCACCATGTCACTTTACCCAGAGCAAGGTCACAAGAATTTTCTCCAAGAAAATTTTATAGTTTTAGCTTTTATACTTAGGACCGAGACTCTTTCATTATGTTTACTGATGCTGTGAGAAAAGGAGTCTCAGTTCATGTTTCTGTCTGTGGATGTCTATGGAATACACACCACTTGATGAAAAGTACATGCCTTCTATTTACAATTGCCTTGTCAGAGCTCAGCATATCAGGCTACACATGGGAGGATTACTTCCGCATCCCATGTATCCTCTGTTCTCTGTACTGTGTGTGCTTCCTCAATTGCTGTACCTGTGTTGGCACTTCTTTCTTACTGTCAATACTCCACTTGTAACTGTTAACAAAATGCATGAAGCTTCATTTTTCCCATGTTTAGAGAGTCCCCTGCTGTTTTTTACTGCTGCTTTCAACTTTAATTCACTCAAGTCAAAGATTATACTGTATAATTCCAAAGTTGTTGAGGTTTGTCTCAGCCTGGGTTATATCTTGGTGAATAGTTCATGGGGACATGAAAAAAAAGTGCTCTTCCATAAGCTGATTGCTGGAGATGGATCAACTGGGTCCTGTTCATCAACAATATTATTGGTTGCTAAAAATCACCATGGATTTTTCCGTCTTTCTTCAGCTCTTCAGTTTTATCTATTTGAGTTCTGTGACTTTGTTGCTCAATGCATATACCATGTAGGACCTTTTGTTTTCCTGGTGAATTGGTTATTTTACCATCTAATATTCCATCCAAACCCTGCTAAGTGTTTTTTCTGTTTTACTTTATGAGATATATGGTATGTGCACATAGACTGCTGACTGCATGGTAGCTCTTCTTCCATTCATTAGCTTTCACCTTGCCTATGTCATGTATATGAAGTGAATTTCTTATAAATAGAATATAGTTGGGACACATAATTATTTATTATGCCAGACTCTGTGATTCAACTGATGCATTTAGACCAGTTTAAAATAGGTGTTATGGAAGTCATTTATTATTTGTTTTCTTCCCGTTTCCTATGATTCTGTTTATTCTATTTCTTTATGTGACTTGAGTATATTTAAAGGATTATCTTAATTGTTCTACTGTCTTTTTTAGTGTTGGGGTAGAGTTACTTTAGTAGTTGCTTTGGAATTACAATAAATGTGTGTGACCACTACTATCTACTGTCACCAACCTTCCCTCACCAAGTGAAGAGTAGAGACCCCTCTTCTATAAGGGCCATCTTATCTTCCTTACTTTTAAATATTACCATCTGAGAATCAATTGATTTAATTTTTTGTTTCAATTATCAGATGTGATTTTTTTAAATTTATGAGTACTCACAAGATGTTGTCTAAAAATGAGTGGATATTAGAGGAGTTAGGGGAAGAATGGAGGATGAATATGATCAAAATACATTGTAGACATGTATGAAATTCTCAATGAAGTAATAAAATATACCATTGCTATATAATGTGTGTGTGTGTGTGTGTGTGTGTGTGTGTGTGTGTGTGTGTGTGTACCCACACACAGGTATACATACACGTTCTTCAAATTGTTCCTTCCTTCCTAATTACTCAAGGTTGCTTTCATTTTGAGCTCAAGATTTTTTTTTAGATGTAGTTTTTCAATCATGTGATTGTTAACACCTATTTACAGTAATCTAGCAACAGATTATTTTAGTTTCCATGCATTTGAAAATGTCTTCCTTACACCTTCATTCTTGAAAGATAGTTACGCTGAATATAGAATTTCTGGCTGCAGTTCTTTCAGATTCCAGGAAGAAGACCATTTCTTTCTGTCCTGTCCTTCTTGGCTTCTGTGAGTGTATTTACACTCAAATTTATCTCTTGCTTAGTTATGCTGTGTCTTCATGTAGATTTTATTATATTTATCCTGGTTGGAATTAGCATTTTTGAATCTATGAATCTTTTTCTTCTGCAAAATTTGGGAAGTGTTCACCTATTATTCCTTATAATAAATAAATAATGATCAACTCCTCTAGATCTCATTCTCTTTCTGTAACCTGATGGGAGGAATTACCCCTGACCCAGGTCCCTGAGAACTAGGTGTTCATCTGTTTTTCAGTCTGTTTTCTATATGTGGTTCACATGCATGATTCTGTTACTCTTTCTTTTTTTACCAATTACCTACTGACATTGCCCCCTATTGGGTCTATTCAATAAGATGTGTGTTTGTTATATTTCTCAGTTCTATACTTTCCACTTTTTAAAATAACTTCTCTTTGTTGAATGCCACTTTTATTTACCATTTGCTTTCAAAAGATTTTTCAGTTGCTTAAACAGATTTATGATAACTGGCTTAAAATCCTTATCAGGTCATTCCAATACCTGATTAGCCTCCATGCTTATGTGGTCAATTATCTGTCTTCATTTTAGTTATGATTTTTGTGATTTTACTGCCATTGGGTGATTCTAATAGCATTCTAATAAGAGGCTCTGTGTCCATTGACATTTTTAAAAAATTTGAAGTCCCCAAATCTTACACACTATGAATTTGAATGTATCTTATAACTACTATGTTCTCAATGAGGCCTGTCACCAGATAAAGTAGTGCATAGGCTAAGTCAGTACTTGTGGAAAAAGATTAGAAGTGCTGAGAAGGTATTGAGGTGGCTTACATCAGTCATAAGTTCTCATATGGCCCTACAGAACGCTTTTCATGCTCCTCGAAGATTCAGGCAATCTTTGTTTGGTTTTCTTGAGACCAAAATCTTTTAGTAAGAATATATACCTAACCAATTTCTTGGTAGTATAAAAAGAAGGTAAAATATCAAAGAGAAATAACAAAGAAAACATTCCTACCTGTTCTGAGGGCATTTCACCAAATAATGTCTTGCTGTGAAAGGAAAAAGAATAAAAATTAGTGAATACAGGTTAGTTTGGTACTACCTGAAAAGCAGGGACCCATATCTTTCTCAGGTATTAGGGCTGCACCAGCCAACTCTTGGGGCTTCTTGCTTACAACTTTTGGGTGAGATCCTGGCAGAGACACCACAGGGCACCCCAAAATGACTTGATATTATTTCATTTCTGGACTGTATACCAGGTATGAAGACACATACCCCAGACTTCATACTATTCATCTTTGGCCAAAACAAGTTGAGTTGCATTCTCTGCTAAAGAGTCCTGGAGTGGTAAAGTCCTCCAAGTTGTGAGCTCTGAGTCATGAAAATAGTCTTTTGGACCAGATAGGACAGGCTATCTCTCCTTAGAGCCTTCTCATTGTAAATGGGCTTTAACTATTTTGTTAGTGTTCTTTATGGTCTCAAAGAACTTCTTAGATAGTCAGATATGATGGTGCAACACTGAGGGCCAAGGAAGGAGAATCTTAAGATCAAGACTAGCCTTGGGCTGTATAGTGACTCTGTTTGAAACAAATGAAAAACAAGAAGATGTCCTAAAGAAACAAGTCTTGGAGCAAGATATCTTTCTGCCATGGTTCTTCTTGAGGCAAACTATAGTGGAAAAATTAGAATACATGGGCACCTTATGCAGAATGTGTCTGTTCTAGGACCTCAAGTTGAGGTTACCTCAACAGAGAAAAGATGAAGCAGCCAGGGGACTCCTGAGTTGTGTGGCAAATATTTATATGGCCAGCCCCAGGGAACTGCACCTTCTTGCATCTGTTCACACCTCCTACCTCCTACCTCAACTAGAACTTGGCCACATGACTTGCTTAGATCCAAGGAACATTAGCCAATGTGCCACCAGCAGAGGCATAAAAAGTGCTGTATCTGAGGCCTGTGACAGGCAACTCCTCTGCTGTTGGTTATTCTGTAGGCCCTCTGGAATATGAGTGCCCACAGAGAAGGCATGAACCATGGTAGCTGAGTCCCCAGAACAAGCAGCCCCCACTGATACGTCAGACTGCAGCTACATGAATAACTCCAGCTGAGAGCAGCAGCAGGGCTGCTGTTTTATGCTCTTGTGTTTGGGGTGATTTGTCATGCAGTTAGTCAGTGCTAGGTCCAGAACAAGACGAGCAGCATTGGAGAGCTAAAAAGATATATAAACCAGCTTCCTAGAAATGTCTAGACCCTTCCTGCACTCCATTTACTGAGCACCTACTGTGAGCTAGATGGTTTATGGATACAACAATAGCAGCATAGTATGTTCTGAACATTCATATTTATGACAGTATTGTAAACTTCATATGTATCAATAGACTTTAGTATTTAGTTTGCATATTCTAATGCATTCTTTGGTCAGAAAGGAATCAATTTCTGGGTTCTCTTGCAATGTGTCTGAGATCTGTCTAAGATTCTTTTTATTCTCTGCTTACAACATCACCATTTCCACTTCACAAAGCCAAGGCATGCTGTCTACTCAATGGGACTTAGACCATAGAAACCTGTCCCAGAGAGCAGAACGTATGAACTGACATGAATCATTCCTGTCCCCTGAGACTTCGAATAACTCACAGCTTAGGAGCTAAAACTCAGGAGGATGAAATTTCCAATGCTTTGCTTCCAACAAGGATTGAATGATGACCAAATCCAGGTGTCAGCCAGCAGCATATTAAACAGCATCTTTGATGCTAGATCATTATTTAACTCTTAACATACATAATTCAAAAGTTGTGCATCGTATTGAGTAGCATATGAAAAACTCCATCTATTCTTGCCTTCTTTTGTATTGAAGGTGAAATCCCCAAGCTCACATCTATTAACAAGAATGGGACTGATAGAGAACTACACCCTTAAGCAAATTCTGAATTCTCATCTTCTCATTTACCTGTGAGGATATATAAAGTAAAAATAAAAATCTATTTCAATAGAAATGCACTTCCAATAAATTTTTGCTTTATGCTTGTTAATTATTTATCTAAACAAATGGTCTATTTCTGTTATTGTTGTTCATTTTATAGCAATCTTCCCAAATACCATTAATTGTGGAGTATTGATAATTTGATCATATAACAGTATCTTAATGCCTAGACACAGAGAGAAGGGAATGGAGAAGTTATGAACGCACATTTGTGCGCATGTACATATGCATGCAGCTAATCACAACAGTCACTCAGCACTATAGCTGTGGGAAAGTAGGACAAAATTCTGTGGGACAAGTGGATAAAGAGAAAAAGAGAGTAAAAGGACAAGACGGCATTCCTAATAGTCGAGGCTTCTTGCCGGCCCCCCCACCCCCCTCATCTCCCACCTCTCCTTCATGGGGTGCTTTTTTCTTCCTTCATGTGGTGCTTAAAATAAACAGGGCTAGTGATCAAAATCAAGAATACAAAAGGGCCTGACGTAGTCATATCATTTTAAGATAGCTATGTCTGCAGTGCTCTGGAGAGTACCTCCTTTGAAACAATTTACATTTCTAAGGAAAAAAACCGAGATGTCAACAACACTAAAATGAAATACCAAGGGCCACAGAGTTTGTGAAAAAGAATTATTCAGGCAACACATGTACAGCTCTGTTCTCCAACTTCAGCTTTACAGTAGCCTCTTTATATGATGTTCCTATGTTGTGAGGAAAGACACTAAAAAGTACAGAAAAGGTAGCAAACTTATCCATAGTCACACAGCAAGTGTTTATGGACCAAGTTGTGTTCCCTCCAAAATTCATATGCTGAAGACCTAATCTTGGGGACTTTGTAATAGGACTGCGATTGGATATAGGATGTTAGAAAGAATTTAGTTAAAATGAGGCCATTAGGGTGAGTTCCCATTCAACAAGACTAGTGTCTTTAGAGCAAAGAACCAGGCCACAAATGCAGACAGAAAGCCAGGTGAACCATAAGGAGAAGATACCAAGAGAGAAGCCACAGGAGAAACCAGCCCTGATACAGCAGCATCTCCATCTCAGACCTCCAATGTCCATGACAGTAAGGTCAAGCAAGTCTGTCACACAGCCCAGGCTGTACTGTTACAGCAACCATGTAAGTGCTTCCAGGTCACGGGCAGAGTGACCTGACTTGGATCCTTCTGTACTTACTCCGTGCCACCCTCAGAGAAACTGAGAGCTGGTGTCATCTACACACAGGCATGCCCAGTTTCCTAGAACCTATGGCTTGTATACACTGTGAGGCAGCTGCAGCTTGCAGAGCAGGGCTGAGAGCCAGCAGAATACCAGGAGCTTCCCTGTGTGGGGGGAGGTGCGGTCCAGGTGTGGTGGGAGGGAGAAGCAATGGGTTAGATACAGACCAGGAATTAAGAGTCAGGAGAGAAGTTGGGGTACTTCAGTCAGGCCCTAAGAAGGGCCACCAGCCTGGCGGGATGCCCCACTAATATGTTTTGGCAGATGAATGTGAGGTCTGTGCTGGATGAATGCAGAACCAACACTTCCACTGATGAGGATGGGCCATCAGGGACTATTGGTGACTCTGGACAATTGCAAGTTTCTAAGAAGTGGGTGTCCCCAGAGTCCCTCCATCACTAGGCATAGCAGCATGCCGGTCACATCAGTGTCCTAGCTTAACCTGGACTCTGAGGAGGCAAAGCCCACACAGTGAGGGTTCAGAGATGTGTGAGAGGCTGCCCAGGGAGACAGGACCCCCCTAATTATGGTACTAGCTCTGGGTGTTAGGAGCCTGGATGGAGAAAAACCCACCAGGGGTGACTGATGGGACAGTCTTCCATCACTGTCCCCAGCACCTAGTGCAGGGCATTTATCCTCAGAGATAAAAACACAAGACACAAGGTATTGTTTGGGAAGATCTCCAGAGCTTCTGGAAGGAAAGCCAGTGCTTCTCACCCCTCCTGACATGACACTCTAGCTGCTAGCCTCTTCCTGCCAACCATCCTTTTCTTCCTTCTCAGCTAGGTCCTCATTGCTCAAAGTCACCACCCATGACCAAGTCCTCAAAGTGTGTCAGGCCTAAAGGCTGTGACTTCTCCAGCTGAGCCTGTCACTGTCACCACTTCCACCGGAAGTGGGAAGACAGGCTGAAGGAACCACACCCCCATCTTATCAGTTCCATTGCAGTGTTGGGACCTCCAGGGTGTGGCTGACCACACACACACACAGAGACACACAAATACTTCCCCGTATACTCATTTTGGTTTCCTAGACCTTTCAGAGATCCTTGCTAGTCCTGCTTGTTAGGGTGTTTTTGTTAGGGATCTCCTCTCAGGGCAGAGCATTCCCAGGACAGGATCTCTATAGCACCCAGGAGCAAGTTTGCAGAGAGCTCTTTCTACCCATCAAGTCCCCAGGTCAGGGGGCCCCAAAGCCTGGGAAAGCACTGTCTGGCTTCTAGGCCCAGTCCACACCCTGCATGCATTTCCTAGGAGTCAGGGCCTTGGTGCACCCCTCCCTGTGCACTACACTGTCCTCTCACCACACAGAGCCCAAGAGCTCCCACCTCCAGGAAGCAGACATGCCAAAAAAAAAACCCTCCTGGTCAGTACAGCCACTAGGAAAGCATCACCTGCTTCTGTCACACAGGGGAAGCTGACCAGGAGTTTGATACCAGGAACCATTTAACAGCCACACTGGGTGAATGAAAAGCACCGCACATAAAGTTGCCTGTTTGCTGTGTTCTGTCCCGTGTGCTGACCAGCAGACCCAAGTGGCTGTGGAGCTCTCAAAATGAAACAAGCCCCCAAACAAGGTATGCAGCTAAGTGTGAAATATGCAATTGAGTCTCACCTATTCTGTCCTTAGAAATTGCAGCTTTGAACATAGTAGATCAAAACAAATTTTTATCCAACTTTGTTTTAAAAACCTTAGTAATGAGACAACAGATTCCATCTGTGGTTCACATATGTTTACTGTGACTGTGTGTTAGCTTTAGCAGTAGGATGGCCAGCATGGTAATGGAAGCATGTAACCAGGGAAGGTAAGGCGCTCATGTGAGAAGGTACTTGATTACAGTTATATCTGGAATGC